GAAAAGAAAGTTTGGTTTTTGGCAGGGGAAGTGTCCACATGTGCTGCTGGATACAATAACGGATGATCTCTGTGTTCCTTGTTCACTACGTGACGTACTCGTGGAAATTTCTGTCGCTGGTACGCTCAGGGTCGTGCCAATCCCCATGGTGTGGAGCAGAAACAGTGGAAATATACTTTGAAAATCAGTTGTGGAAAGACCCAAGGTAGGTCTGACCCTTCCACCTCAGAGAGAAACCTGTAGGCAGGTAGAGGAGAAAAAGAAAAGAGGGGTTGGTGAGGGGTCCCAGAATAGCCTTGATCTGAGAACCTGAGGGTGCAGCTCTTCACTTCGTGCTGTGGGAACCTGGGGTACGTAACGCTTAGAAAAGTGCTTTGTGACACTCAGAATGGAGAGCTCTGGAGACGTTACGGCGTTGCCAGCCATCTAGGCACTTGGAGAACAATTTAGGCTGCAAATGGGAAACTGTTCATTTGCCCAGTTGAGTAAATTAAAATTCTGTGCACATTATTCCAAAGGAGACTTTTTTAAAAAACTGAAAAAAACCAAGAGATCTTACTTGGAACTGCCTGCAGGGATGGAGCCAGCTCCCTGTCTGCGTGCCTGGCTGTGGGCTGTTCTCTCTGGGGAGAAAATGATCATGACAAAGTGTTTTTGGGCAGAGTGCTCTAGAAATGTGGTGTCTGGAGCGTGCCAGCGCTGCTTGGAAGAAGGACGAGGTGATCTGGCAGCCCCACGAACTGTCCAGAGGCTTTTAGGCTGCTGCCTCCATCTCCTGCTGAGTTACAGTAAGTTGGTCTTAATACCCCTGCCAGGGAGGATGGGGACAGAAGCAGGGCAGTAGATGGCTTGGCCTTGGTGTCTTCTGACCCTCGGGAAGCTGTCCTTGGCAATCCAGATTCCTCCGAATGCACACGTGGAGCTGGCAGACAGCGTGTTGTCTCTTGCACTTAGAAATCATGGTCTTGACCTTCCACCCTGCTCCTAAGAACTTAAGGCTGCGTTTTTCCTGGTGTTTTATCCTTATTTAAAGAAGATCCAGGCTGCAGCTGCCAGTGAGCTTAAAAACTCCTCCTGGAGCGTGTCTCTGGCAGAAGTGGTCTTCGCACACGAGGTCTTGGGTCTGTTTCTCTTGGCTAAAGGAGCTTGTCAATCCACAAATAAAATAAGTGGACTTTATTTAACTCGCTGGCAGTTTGTCTTCAAAGGGGGTCATCAAACTTTTTGCTTTGTTATTTGCTGTCTCTCCTCCATTCACACGTGCAGCCTTGGAAGCTAGATGTCAAAACAAATTTAACAAAAATGGGAAGAAAGCTCTGAGTCTTTTTTTTTTTTTTTTTTCCAAAATGCGCTTAAGATATGATGTATCCTGGTAGTGGGTATTTCTTGATTGGATTCTTGAAAAGCAGTATCTTTGGATCTGTGGATTTTTTTAATTATGGAAAATTATTAATTCCTTCTTATTTTTTCCTATCTAAGCCTAGGAGAAACTGATTCTCTTCTCCTCCAAAACAAACAAAAAAACCACCTTCCAATTCTTTTTGAGTATGAAGGTTTTTGACTGTTCTAGAAATGACACTACAAAAAAGTGTGGACTCTAGACATGAGCTCTAGGCTTTGCTTGGAGGAAACTGAAGATGCATCTGCTCCCCCTCACCTCACAGATACTTGTGCAATTATGAAAACTCATTATCAGGTCCCTCAGAAGAACCTCAAACCCAGACTTTGGAAGGCTCGCTCTTCATGTTGGGTGCACATGAAAACCAGCCCACCGTGCATGACTGGCCTTTCGTACCCTCTCCCCTTTTCGTTTGTTTGAGCCTTTCTGCAAATGGTGCAAACGCAGAGGCATAGGTGTTGGAGGGCCAACCAGGACAGAAAAAACAAGCTGCACCTGGACAGTGACTGCATGGGGTGGAAGAGCTGTGCAGTGGGATTGGGGATGAAGCTCAAGAATCAGAATTGTTCTGACCAAGACTTTTAAAAAAACAGTAACATCAGTCAGGCTTTGTGAGAGCTGCTTGTTCTGAGAGAGCCTTGAGAGAAAGGCAAACAGCATCGAGGCACACCTGCGTGCTCGGAGAAAGGCTGCTTTTCCCAGGGAGGGGAACACTTCAAGTGCCTGCTCGAGGCTTCACTTTATTGTGAGGATTCAGGTGCCTTTGTGGCTCAGGTGCCTGGTGTTTATCATTCCCAGGTGCTCCAGATCTCATGCAGATCTGGTTTTTTAATGAACTTGAGATACATCACCTCTTTGTACATGGCTTCTGTACAGGCTTCCCACAGCTCTCACGGGCTTTGGCAGCAGCAGATGCTGCACAGCTGTGTCTCGGGAGGGCTGAGGAGTTTGTGTTTCTCACCTACATAGTGGATCTTCCATTCCAGTGAATAAAGGAGCAACTCCCCTGCTCCATGGGGGTGCTTGATGGTCTCTGACTTGTACCAGGATGGATTCAGGCAGTTTGTCAGCTCACTCCTTTGCTATGCAGTATCTGGGCATCTCCTAGGGAGGACTAGGCTGCCAGCTGAGACTTTCCTTTGCCAGCTTAAGATCTCTTGCTTGCGCTGGGGCCTTGCCATAGGGACGGCTGTTCCTGGAGGATACCCCTGATCCAGAGCAGACTGGTTGTGCAGAGCTTGCTACTAAATGATCTGTTACCCTGGAGCCTAGCTCGGGCTGGTTTGTTTTGCCCTTAGCTGGTACCTTTCATCAGGCGCTGTGTTCCCGGCTGCTTTCATGGTGCGAGATCATCTGTTCCTCCCTAGTTCCCATTTCAGGGCATCTTCAGCTGCGGTTCTGCTGAGTAACCTTGGAGTGCCTGCTGTCACTTGAGATGTCCTTGATTGCAAAGAAGAGAGTGACAACAAGTCAGAAAAATCACGGGAGGGTTGCAGAAAGGCTGCTGTTTGAGACAATTCCCTAAATGTTGCATGTGCCCAGCCGGTGCTGAGAGGCAGCTCCTGATGCGCTGCCTTGCGTGCCTGCGGGGCCGTGCGTACCCTACTTTCCTTGTGTCTGTCCTCAGAAATACTTGGATTCAAGACAAGTAGGAGTTGCTGCAGCCCTGAGCGGTGGCTAGCAGTCTGGTTGTGGTCCTGAGCCCTGCTAGGTGGGCTCGGGGTGAGGGTGGGGACCCTGCGAGGTGCTGCTCCGTGTCGGCACAGCCACAGGCACAGAATTCCCTGCCCTGAGCATCATCGTGCTGCACCTTGGGAGGTGGATGGGAAGTGAGTGGTGGGTGTGGGGACGTTCAGGGAGGATGGATGTGGGCCTGAGGATGCGGTAGGGACCGCTCTTTGCAGAAGAAAGGGCTGGGGGAGAGGTCCTTCAGGGGGACCGTTGATCAGAGCCCCTGGGGTTTGCTGGCGTCGCTGTACCGTGTGTGTTCTGTGCCGATGGGCAGGGACAGTGAGCAACACCCGCTGCCTTCAGCAAGGCCCGGCGTGGATCCTGGTCGGGAGATCTCACTCCACCAGAGATGTTGTGTTGCTTATTGGCATCGCTCAGCCTTCTTCCCTGCCAGCAGAGTGACAGCAGAACGAGGTGGGTTCTGGAGGGGGAACACATGCTGGAGAGGGGTGTGCTGTATGAACTGACCGTGGTCTGCTGCCATCCTGCCACTGAATGCAGCTGTTCTGCGTAAGGGGAGAAGAAAAAGACTGTTCCTGCCTCAGCGAGTTTGTATCAGGTTTGGGACAGGAGGAGGGTGTGTTTTGCTCCTCCAGATACACAGTCACCGAGGCAGTTCCTCCTCCTTTGTAGAGGCGGCTGCTTTGGAAATTATTTGGGGCATGCTCAAGCCAAAACAGGAGATCAGACTGAGATGAGATGTGAGGAAGAAATGTTTTCCTGTGCGGGGGGTGAGGCAGTGGCCCAGGGTGCCCAGAGAAGCTGTGGATGCCCCATCCCTGGAGGGGTTCAAGGCCAGGCTGGATGAGGCTTTGAGCAACCTGGGCTGGTGGGAGGTGTCCCTGCCCATGGCAGGGGGTGGCACTGGATGGGCTTTAAGGTCCCTTCCAGCCCAAACCATTCTATGGTTCTATGATTCCATGATTCTAAAACCTTCCCTAATGGTCCAGGACTGAATTAGTACCTTCTGGTTTCTGCATATGGAGGTGGTCTTTCAGGTGTGTCTCCCTTGAAGTTTGCCTCCTGTGAAACCTCCTGATTGCTCCTGATTTTCTTCCTCCAGGGAATTCTCTTGGTGTACGACATCACTAATCGCTGGTCCTTCGATGGGATAGACCGATGGATAAAGGAAATAGATGAGGTAAGCTGAATGGAAGAACACATGCAGTAGTCTGTAGCAAAAAAATTTGGGGAGGTATCACCCAAGATGCCACCTCTGATACGGGGACAAGAATGGCTCTGCTACAGAATGTGTCTGTCCTCCATGTGTGTGTAAATCCGGAGTAGCAGGAAAGGGCTTGAGAATAGCCAAGAAATACATGGAGGTTGCCTCTGAAATGGGCTGTGGAGGGGATAAATTAGTCTTCCTCATCATGCAGTGCTGCTTGGCAGCCCCTTGTGGTCACAGGGCAGTTTCTGTTCCTTTGTCCTTCACTGTTGTTGCAGCAAAGCAGAATGCAGGATGTAGGCTGCCCTAACTGAGGACAAGCCATGATTTCCCCCCCCCACCCTTCTTTCCTTTTTTAAGCATGCTCCGGGTGTCCCTCGGATCCTGGTGGGAAACAGGCTTCACCTGGCCTTCAAGCGGCAGGTGCCGACGGAGCAGGCCCGGGCTTACGCGGAGAAGAACTGCATGACGTTCTTCGAGGTCAGCCCCCTGTGCAACTTCAACGTCATCGAGTCCTTCACGGAGCTGTCCCGCATCGTCCTCATGCGGCACGGCATGGAGAAGATCTGGAGACCCAACCGAGGTCAGTGGTGAGGAAGGGGCTCGGCGTGGGGAAGGTGGGAGAGCTGCCTGGGCTGAAGCAGAGGGGCAGGATGCGCTGCCTGGGTGGGAGGTGTGTTTGTTAGTAATTGCGGGATCTGAAAGCGCTTGATGTGGAGAAATGCCTTGGGTCAGGCGACGTGAATCTGAGCCACGGGGAGCTGCCTGTACTAGCAGAGGATCCTGAGAGCCGGCGGTGAGGGATGGGCAGTGCAGCGTGTCTGGGATCTGAATCGCTCCGGGGCATCCTGAACCTCTCTGCATACTCTGGATGAGGCTGAGGGCTATTAAGCTCACAACTTGAAAGTACTTCAATCAAACGGCTGTGTGAGATAAATCCAAGCATAAGTGTCTCCATCCTTACCCTTTGCCTGAGCCTGTGTCTCCTGTTCTGGAGAGACGCGGAGGCAGAATGAGCCCAGGGAGCTGAAAGGGACTAAATCATGTCCCTGCTGTCGGCATGCAGCAGAGGGCTGGGATGCTCTGGATGTCCAGGCATGTGTGCTGCAGGGGGGAGACTGCAAGCGGAGTCCGTGTTACGCCTCTGCCTGTTAGGTTTGATGCAAAATAGTCCCACGTTCCTGGCTGGAGGTAGCAGTGCACCCCATGGGCAGACTGAGCAGCAGGAGATTTGCACGCCGGGGGTGACCCATCTTCACGTGGACCCTCAGCTCCTGCTCAGGAGGGAGGGAGAATCCTGTTTGCCAGCCCCAGGCACCAAATCACCTGCCAGGGCTGCTGTCCCTCGCCTGGCTGCCATGCCACTGTCCCCAGCCCGTGGAGGGATGGCGGGCAGGAGGACAGGGACCGGGCTGCGTTCGCAGACCTCTTCTGAACCTCTTCCAGAGTAACTGCTGGCTGCCTGCTTGGGAACAGCGGCAGCGTGGCTTTTGCAGCAGGCTGGAGGTGAAAGCGTGCCCTCGTGTGGCTGCTGGCTGGGAGATCCCGTCCCAGCAGAGATCCCAGAGCAGGCTCGGGGGACAAGGGAAGGCTGCAAGGGCAGAGCCTGCTGCTGTCTGGGTGGGATCTCTGGTGCTGCAGGCTCTGCAGAGAGCCGGCCCCGTGGCTGCTGCTCCCCGAGCAGGTCATAAGTGACACTGCCCTGCTCCAGGGCTTGCTGACCTTGTTGTCACCTTCCCTGGACATCTGGTTGCCAAACCCCAGGCTGAGAAGCCGAGTGTTTGGCAGGAAGGTGAGGAAGGCCCTGCCTGCCCTGTGCAGGGGGTACGGTGGCAGTGCCTGAGCCCTGTGCTGCCACCAAAGCTGGGGTCTCACAAAGCGCTGACCCCTGAAGGCAGAGCTAGCCTGGGGTTTCCCGAGCTTTTCTCCTGGCTGGTCTGCTCCCTGTGCAAGGCTCCTGTGCAATCGTTACTAGCTTCTCTCTCCAGAGGAGCGGGAGCTGCACAGCATGGAGAATAGTTGTAGGGAGAAGGTGCAACCCTTGAAATCTCTTGGCCCTTGACTGTCTGGTCTCTTCTCCCCGCAGTGTTCAGCTTACAGGACCTGTGCTGCCGAGCCATCGTTTCCTGCACCCCAGTCCACCTCATCGACAAGCTGCCCTTGCCCGTCACCATCAAGAGCCACCTGAAGTCCTTCTCGATGGCGAACGGGATGAACGCCGTGATGATGCACGGCCGGTCGTACTCCTTGGCCAGCAGCGGGGGTGGGAGCAGCAGCAAAGGTAACAGCTTGAAGAGATCCAAATCCATCCGGCCGCCCCAGAGCCCCCCACAGAACTGCTCACGCAACAACTGCAAGATCTCTTAGCAGGATGGACGTGCCGTGAGCTTCGAACGTATCCACACCCACCCACCGATGTACAGCTGTTTGCACACTTAACCCTTTTCGACTGGATCCTTTCGGATGGGCCGCGGGCGCTTTTTTCCGACGGCACGCGCGAGCATCGGGAATGCGCTCACGTTTTGGCTTGGCATAGGAAGCATGGTGCCGGCTGGGATCTCGCAGCGCTGGCGGGAAGAGGACTCTGCCAAGTGACCCTCCAAGAATGCTTTGGGGCTTTGCCTCTCGGCCTGGGGTGGAAAATTCAGCAGCTGCTGGGTTGGGGAGGGGG